TAATTGTACCTTTCTTCGTTTTGGTAAAGAATATAGCATTTATTTTGCCAAAAGTGACTTGATAAGTACTCTTTCCATTCCCACTAAAGCATGTATGATGTCACATTGTCACATCTTTGAGTTCAATAATTTCTCAGCGTCTGTTCTCCTTTGGTTTTGTTGTGCTTAAAGCTGAATAGTATTTATTTATAAGACAATGACTTTATTATGTTCTAACATTCCTCATATATTTTCCGTGCTTTTCATGACCAAATAAGTTTATTAATGCTCCATGGCGATGCCAAGGCTATTGCCATTGTGTTACAATAAAGATATTGGCCATTCACTACAAGTGTATTGTGATATTGGCATGTATTCTAAAATAAAGATTAAATCACATATATGTGATCAATGTACTTGTAGATGCAGTACTCAGTATGTTCCTATGTTACAATTTTTTGACTGTGTAAGGTGAACTTCAGGGAGAACAATGGTGATTAATGTTGAGTACAATCAACTTGACCCTCTGCTCCGAGCAACTATCAATCCTGAAGGAGATGTCAACTCTGAGAATGGGTTTTCACCTTTTCCCGGAAATATTAATCAGGTAAAGTCTGAACCGAATTTCTTTCCTATCCTTATGCCCCCTCCCAAAGTGTTATTTTCTGCCTCTTCCTGCATTTAGGTAAGGCGCATGTGCATTTACTGAATGGTTTTAGATACATAGGATGGTGATTAAATGGTATTCTATGCTGTTGGTAGAGATTTGTTAACTTGCTGAGGGAGGGGGGGGGGGGAGGAGGGCTGGAATATGTTGTGTGCCTACATATATTGGTTGCTTTGCTTTTCTTTTCTTATAATTTTGACCAATGAGGTTGTGACATTACTCTGCAGCTAATACTGGAACTTGAATCATACATTGAGGAACTTCAGAAGACAGGAGGTGCCATCAAAGAATTTGTAAACCCCAAGTAATCTTCTGTTTCCTGAAATTTGCCAATATGTAATTCAATTCTATTCCAGACTGTCACACATCTCACTGCTGTTTACTTATTTCACTCAAATTTGTTTGCCCATGAAATAGAAGTTCTATATACTCTCACTTTTCTTGTTACTACACTGTTTTATTTCCAGTTAATATGATGGTGAGTTTTTAATCCCCAAAGTCTATCCTTGTGTAGGTATAAGGACGCTACAAAAACTTCCTTCAAGTCTTCTACGAGATTGGAGTGCATGATGCAAGATTACCCTAAGACTTTGCCTCCAACTGCAAGGGTTGGGTTTACAGTAAGTTGCAGCCTTTCTATATGTAATAATCATCCTTGTTATTGGGATTATCTTGACACAAATTTGCTTGTTTCATTCATTTTTGCTTAGGTGATGGATATATGGCTTGCTTATGCACCTGTGAAGAACAATCCTGAGGATGCCGCGAAGGTAAATTGTATTTACTTGTACAATTGAAGACTTGAAGTGATATAAGGAATTAAGATGATGAAAAATTAGCTGCTTCTACTTCCCCAAATAGATTTCGAATTTGAGAAGTGAGCTGAAGAGAGTGGAGCGAGTGAGCATAAAGTTGATATAAGGGAATCCATGGTTTGCTTATATGCTAGTGATTCACAGTGAAAAATACCTGTGAACCTAATTTAAGAAGAGACTCAGAGAGGGAACAAAATAAGAGTAGAGTGAGCATGGAATTAAATACTAAATGGATCTATTAAAACTTCATCCACAATTCCACATGGTCTGCATGATTGAATGCTTGATAGCTTTTCCAATATAAATATTAGGCCCTCTGATGATGAATTATGAAACCTCAATAGAAATGGTTTGTGTGGTTTTATTCAATGAAAGCACTTTTAGTTCATATTCCAAATTTTGCATCACCTTTAATGAGTGTCAGAAATTATGCAATAGGACTAAAATCTAAGTGGCCAAAGGTTAAAAATTTGACCAAATAAATAGTAAATGGGTAGATAAAAAAAAAAAAGAACTGAGGGAGTGTGTCAATTTGTTATCATGAAGACCGATGTGATTTTGATTGTTCTCTTATTGGTGAAGGTTCCAAAGGGTAATCCATACCATAGTGCAACTTCTGGTGAAATGGCTATCTACAGGGCACACAGCCTTATATTGAGAAAGGTATCTATTTTGTTGATCTTGCTAATCGTTACCACCATCAGGGTGTGATATCTCGCAAGTTATTTATGAAAACTCTATTAGATCCGGCTTTGAATCAACTGCTTTCTTTGTTAGGCGGGTGTCCAAATCGGTGACCCAATAATGCATGTGTTTAATGGACAAGAAGTGGAGGTCTGGCCTCGCATTGTGTGGAAGCCAAAATGGGCACTTACATTTTCAGACGTGAAAAGAAAAATTAAAGAAAATTGCTCCATTTCACAGAAGTCTACCATGGTTCTCAAGGGCAAAAATATTTTCATTGAAAAACTTTCCTTAGATGGAGCTCTTGTTGTAGACTCAATTGATGGTGCCGAGGTATGAACTTATTCATAATTCTTGGCAAGTTGCATTGTTAGTCTAGGTTACTCCAAAAACCCATTACAATGTGAGCTCTCTTTTAGAATAAATATTTTAAGCACCCAAATCCACATGCACTCTAGATAGAAGAATAAAGATGGGAAAACAAATTTCCAATTTGGTTCTCTTTGGTTATATTCTTACTTTTGGTCGTTACTCTAATCTTTTCACAGGTGAAAGTGGAAGGTTCGGTGCAAAACTCGGGTTGGATCTTAGAAAATGTTGATTATAAGGACACTTCCATTCCTGAAGAAATTAGGATCAGAGGGTTTAAAATAAATAAGGTGGAGCAACTTGAAGGAAATTTCCATGAACCTGGAAAATACTCCTTGAAGCCTTGATGTATTTTCTTTTACTAAATAAAGAGAATTTTAGTTTAGTGTGTGAAGTTTCCATAGCAGCCTTCAATTGTACATTTATTCATTCATTGTACGCCACCTTAAATATTGGTCAAAAGGGTGCTTAAAAATTGTTTTTGTAGATTAATACCAGCTTGTGGTTCATTCATCATAGGTTTTTGCCAAGTACACATACAATTGATGCAAACATGACGAGATATACTTCGTATTTATTTTTTCAATTTTGTGGAACCATAAAGTTCATTCTTTATACTAGTACATTTTTTTGTCAAATGGTGTACCTCATAAGATGACAATTACACAGTAAGTATTAGCATGACACACAAGCTGAATACAACAAAAACATTGTTACTAGTGTTTGTTGGGGATTTTACTTGAACAAGGGTCATAAAGATGAAAATGGAATTGAACAACAATAAACCTTCGAGGTGTGAACGGAATCACTTTCCCAAAAGTAATATTTCGACCCTTAAACTACACACTGGGTTTCACGAAATTTACTTAGGAGATACAACGAAGAAACAATCGTAATTATGTGTTGTAAACAAGTTTGTGTAAATTGTGATGATGAACCTTGAAAAATAATAGCCAAACCAAGAGAATGAAAAGAAGAAAGTCACGTCCATCTCTTTTCACTTTCTTGTTTTTTCATCATATAATTCATGTATATAAATATAGAGCAAAACCAATTGTAACCAACCGTCACAATTAATTGAAGCAAAAAGTATTGTGTCCGATCGACAAAGCACTACTTCAATTTCTTGTCTTATCTCTAATCTTTTGACTCCCTTAATTATCCACATCTTAACCAATGGTAATTAAGAAAATCAAATCATGATATATATCACCAATACTCTAAATTTTTCTACTCTTATATTGAATTATGAACTCCTTAATAAACTAGGGTGGAAAACGCTCCAATAAATGTTAAAAACCGATTCAACATGATTAGATACTATTTAACTTTATATTTACACAATTTGATATTCAATCTATAAGGACGGTACATAATAATTTAACATAATCTAAACCTGACTCGACCCAATCCCCCTCCATCGACCCAAACTGACAACTCTATCTCGAGTCCCGACTCAACCCCAAACCTCATCCATCCGAGTGATGCTACACATACAATGGTTGTACGTGGTAGCCCACATACAACACTATTGTATGTATGCCACGTCAAAAGAGAGGAAAAGAATAAGAGAGAAAAAATAGGGGGAAACAAGAATACGGAAGTGGATCCTAAAATGTAAACTAATCAAATGCTGCCAACAATGATTATATGTACGCTATCACATACAATCATTGTATTTGTAGCCGTTTCCCATCCATCAAGCCAAATTGACAACTCTATACTTCTATAAGTAAGGTCAATACTCCATACTTTCGTTGTTTTCCAAAAATACGGGTTTGTAAAATCACGAACAAGACCCACCACGTGTCCATAATTCATATCCTAGAAAAATGAAAAATACTGTACAACACTATAGTACTGCTTTCTGCAGTACTATATTCTGCTTCTTCATTTCTTCCCCTTCATTTCTTCATCTTCTGTACTACAGAATATGATCTCACTCCGATAGGATTATGCTGAAATACCCAGATCTTCAACTTTTTTCGAATTCATCCTACAATTCAAATCAAAACCCCAGATCAAATTCCAGGTAATTTCAGTTTTTCTCTTTAAAATTTCTAAGTATTGATTGAAATTTCATTGACAAAAAAATGCAAGATCGAAATATTGTTGATGTCCCAGAAGAAATCTGGGAACAAATAATCTCACTGTTAGATCATGATTTATATTTAGAACCTTTATCCCTTGTTTCAAAATCCTTTCTTTCAATCACAAATCGTCTTAAACAAACCCTAATTATCTCAAACCCCACTTCAAATTTCCTCCCAAAACTCTTTCATCGATTTCCAAATCTCAAAATTATCTCTCTTTCTCAATTTAATGGCGAACCCAGTTCGATTCTTCAATTAATTTCACTTGCCCACTTTCCACTTCAATCCCTTGATCTATCTAATCACACTTATTTCCCTTGTAATGCGATTCAACAACTTCCCAGATCATCTCTCAGCTCTATAAAATCACTCGTGTTGCGTAATCTTTCGATTATGAATGATTCCGATTTGGGGGTTGTTTCGCAGTTTATGGTTAATTTGGAAGAGTTGGATGTTAGTGATCCTAAGGATGATTATTGTGTAACTGGGGATGGGGATATGGATGTTTCTGGGGGTGGTTTAGGGATTACTGATGATGGAATTGATCTGATTGCTTCGAAGTTAACTAAGCTAAGGAAGGTTAATTTGTCTGGAAATTACTTTGTTTCTGATAAATCTGTGATCAGTCTTTCAGAGAAATGCTTGAATTTGGAGGAGATTGTAGTTAAGAATTGTACTTTTGTTACTCAAGTTGGGATGGCATTTGCATTTCAAAATTGTAGGAATTTGAAATCTGTTGGTCTTTTAGGGATGGACTTGGGTGTTCCTGAGATTGCTCATTCGTTTGCTTGTGCTCAGAACTTGTCTGTGCTTGATTTTTCGTATATGGCTGTTTCGGATGGATTGCTGTTTTCGATTGTCAAAGCTTCCATTCCTTTGAGGAAGTTTACTTTGTACCATTGTAAGGACTTTGCCTTTTCTGGGGTTTTGTCGCTTTTGCGTACTTATCACTCCCTTGAATATTTGGCGTTGGAAGGTGTTTACTGGATCACAGATAGAACCATAATTGATCTATCGAAATTCCTTCGTAAGGCTAATACTGTTAAGCTTAATTTCTGCTCAAGGGTGACGAGTTCTGGCTTTTTTACCATGCTTAAAAATTGCCCGTTGTTGGACAATCTGGAAATGGAGAAAACAGACATGGGAAAGCAAGAATTTGCTGTCAGTAATGCTACCAACCCACAGACTCGAGCTCTTATTTTGAGTTCCAACAAGACTTTGAGCAATGAATGTCTAGAAAAAATTGCATACTCCTGCCCAAACCTGGAGCTACTAGATGTGAGTGATTGTCCTAGTATTACACGGAAAGGCATTGGTGAAATTTTACGCAACTGCCTTAGTTTGAAGCATTTACATATGAATGGATGTGGGGCAATTAAAAGTCTCGGCATGGATGCAAAACTTCGTAAATTAGAATATCTCCGAGCATCCGGGTCAGGGCTCAATGATGAAGGGTTGATGATGATTGCAAAGAAGTGTCCTGCTCTTGTGTATTTGGATATTATGGGGTGCTCCGGAGTAACCTCCAAAGGAGTGAAAGAAGTGGTCTATCATTGTGTAAGGTTGAAGGAAATCAACTTGAATTGGTGTCGTGAAATGAGTCGTGACATTGTTGCTTGGATGGTGTTCTCAAGGCCTTCGCTGAGGAAAATAGTGCCTCCATATGGATTTGTTCCAACTGATTATGAGAAGAGCTTATTCCTGCGCCATGGATGTCTGGTAGGTGAAGGCTAAGTAGCAATTCTGAAGTTTTCTGTTACTTTGTTTTTTAGCTATAATGCTATCTAATTGTCTATATTATCCGGGTTGCTGTACATAAGCATTACATCTATGAGTAAAAGTTTATGATTTGTGGAAGTATATACACGCCGTATGAAGGCTTGTAATTGCAAATTTTCCATTGGACGACAAGGTCTGTTGCTCAATCTTGTTTACTGATTACTTTGCTCAAGTAATTTGTGATGATTTTGGAAGAATGTTATGTAATGCCATCATATCAATCCCAACTGATTTTTTTCAAGTCAAAGCTTTGTCAATGTGGAAGGTCTTTATGTGGCTCATATGAGAACTCATATTACTATTTCAAGGTATTCAAAATTTCCTCCCTCCATCCCTGTGGAATTGCCCTATTTGACCCCTTTTTTTTATGAGATGTGTCAAATGGGGCAGTTCAAGTGGGACGAAGGGAGTAATGCCTATGCCTTGAAGGCTTGAAGAGCTTGCAGAAAACTATAGTTGATCTTCTTTCACCCCCTGTGGACATTACTTTTACATTGCATTGTGTTGTTGGTCTTTCCGATTTTCAAATCAGAATAAGTTTTTGCCTAGACTTTCAGGAATATGCAAAGCCTAGACGACCTTTGCCCATCAAAGAGCTGAACTCTATGGGGATTAAATGTAAAAATACTTTCAGCTCTTCAATTAGATGGGTTGAATTCTTTTTCCAAGGTCCAGCTATGAGCTATGTACTAGTTCAATGTACGGGTCTGACCTAAGTAGCCAAGATACTGGACTACTTGTCTTTATTATTGATGAACATGGTAATTCGATATAGGAGAGGATTCCTGCAGTTAAGTTTTGAGACCATATATGCTGCAATCGATCAGAGGATGCTGTCACTTCTGATGTGATCCGCTTTCAAGGAGGTGCAACCAATGAATATATTTTGGGCCTTAGGGGACTCAAACTGGGAAGAATTCAGGCTGTGTGAATAAGTCTTGAATCAGGTTGGCCTTTTTCGAACTTGTGTCATGATATGATAATCTAGTCATTAGTTTAGTATAGTATAGTACAGAAATAGCTCAAAACCTCAACCTAGTCTTTAGTTTAGTATAGTACAGAATTTTTATTTTATTTTTTTATTTTTTGAGAAACAAGTATAGTACAGAAATAACTCGAAACCTCAACCGCAAAAAGAGTGAAGTTCTTAGCAAAAGCATCAGCATAAACTTTTCCCTGCCTTCTAGGAAGGGCTGGGAGCAACATTATAACCATAATTTCTAATAGGCTTAAATAAGCATTAATTTCTTTTGCTGCTCAATTGCTCGACAAGCATCTTAGGGTTTTATCTCCCTTACGACAGCATCAGCTTATGGTAATTGTTGCTGAAAACATTCTGATTTCTTTGCAACCAAATATGGTACAAGCTCGTAGCAAAAAAGATCACATATCACCAGTTCTCATCTTTGATAGCAACATATAGCTTTTCATGGAACACTGCAGGTGATTTCCAAAGATGCATGCAGGAGTCTCAAAATACTTCTTCAGATGCTTGCAGAGTAAGAACGTCGAAAGAAAGACTTATTGGGGTAGCTCTATTGTGGCAAATAATTTTGGGTTTTTTTTTTTTTTTTTTGGGTGGGAAGAACTGTTCTATCAATTTGGAACCTCACACAGTCCAAAGCTCCAAACCAATCCGGATTAGCTAAATATACAATTGTACTGTAATACAAGTGTTATACATACGGATGGCAATTTAATCAGAGTTCGATTCGAATCCGATCCGATCCGAACCGAATCCGTTTAAAATAAGTCCGAACCCGATAAAAATAGATCCGAATACGAAAGGAGGTGGATCGGACTTGGACACGGCTCAAAGTCCGACGGAGTCCGATCCGAGTTCGTCCGAGAGTATGAGCATATGCTTTATAACTTAGTAAAATTTTATTTTGTAACTTAGTTCATAATTTAAATATGTTATGTTTATACTTTACTTGGTATGACAATACAAACAATTATAGGTATATCACATTACCAAAAAAAAATATTCGGATCATTTCGGAGGTTCATATAAATGGACCAGATTCGGATCCGAAATTACGAGTCGGATCAGATTCAGACTCGGATTTTTCGGATTCAGATTCGGATCCGAGTCTTGGGTCCGTTTACTAAACGGATCGGATTCGGATTTAGCCACATATGACCCGAATCCGATCCGTTGCCATTCCTAGATTTATACATAAGGTATAAGCAAGAGAATTATCAAACGGGTCATTCGGGTTGGGCCAGTTTGGGTTGGGTTAATTCGGCTCAATCAATATTCGGGTCGGGTTTGAGTCGGGTCAATTTGAGTTTTGGGTCAGTTTCGAGTCAATGGCAATTCGGGTCGAGTTCGGGTTAGGTCAGTCTATGGGTTCAATTATTGGGTCAAAGTTCGGGTTGGATCAAGTTTAAGTCGGGTAAAATTCGGGTTGGGTCAATTCAGGTCTGATTAATCTTCGTCTATGTCGTCGATGTAGAAATTTGACCAATGATATATTATAATTATCAATAAGTATAAAGTATAACAATTGAATATTAATAATATATTCATTAGACAATTCCAACAGTACTATATACACAAGACTGGATTGTTTCAAAATTCAAATTAGATAAAGTGAATAGTGGGAAAAAAAAAATTCAATGTAACACTTAAAAGAAGAAGTTAAGAGTAATAGTAATAATAACAATAACTAGTGTTTTTAATCAAATGGAACTCTTTATGAATTACGAGTACTAAATTACACACACATTTCAACAGTATTATACACACAATATTATACTATTTAATTTTGGTTAATTTCAATAGGTGGTTATTTGGGTAAAGTAATTAAGTAAGCCCTAAATCAGTTAGATCATTTTGAGCATTTGTTATTTTTGGATCGGGTCATTTCGAGTATAGTTCGAGTCGCTTCGGGTTTCAGGTCCGTTCGGGTCAATCAATGTCAACTTCGGGTCGGGTCACTTCGGGTTCGGGTCAATTTCGGGTCAGGTTAATTCGAGTATCAGGTCAACTTCGAGTCGGGTTAATTCAGGTCGAGTCAATTCAGGTATCGGGTCAAGTTCAGGTTAACTCCACTTCAGGTCGGGTATGGGTCAGTTTTGTGTTTGGATCATGGATCAATTAGATTGTTTAAGTTGAAAACTAATTATTTTTTACGGAATAATTCGATTACTACCTCCGTTTCATATTATTTGCAACGATTTGACATTTGTCCCCTCTATTTTATGTCAAATCGTTACAAATAATATGAAACGGAGGTAGTATTTCACTGGCTTTACAACGCGTTAAAATAATGTTGTCATATGTACTCTTGTGCGTTATTTTCCATGACAGTCGAGGTCTAAATTAGTTAGCAAATGTTGTTGTTAATCTAGTACGGAGTAAATGACAAAATTGAGTAGCGAAGTGGGTGTTTTGTACCAAGCAACAAACTAAGCTAGTTTATGGACGTCTTTATCTGTTGCAGGCATGCTGCAGCTTCCATCCCTATTTCCTCAATCCTAACACTCGTGATTCTCTTTTGGACTACAAATTGAATCACGTAATTTGTATCTCTTCTTCCTAGAACTACAATTAACTTGCCTCATCTTGCGTTTGTCACATCGACATCCACAATATATGATTTTGCTATCATACGCCTTTCGCTTCTTGGAAGGCCAAATATTCTCCAAAATTCGTACTTTAAATATGCCTCTTTTATATACTACCTCCGTTACATATTAGTTGTAACTTTTGCCAAAATGAGATGCTACACATTAGCTGCAACTTTCCATTTTTTTCCTATTTTAGTAAGTTTTATCAAATGAAAGTACAAAAATACCCTTATTAAAAAACTCATAAACACTATCAACTACCTAAATCAGATTTCATTAAACTCCTAATCTAACTTATAACATAAATTAAAACAATTCCATTCCAAAGATTCATTCAAGATTTCAAGTGGGTAACTCCCACAAAATTGTCAGAACACCCAACACCCCATTCTCAACGTCGCTATCGCCGCCGCTTCTAACCACCACCGTCAACGTCGCCGTTGCATCTACCACACCATCAACGTCATCGCTGCTCATCACCATATTTAAAGTCGCCCCTTACTGTTCCTTTCTCTCTCTTCTTTTTTTTTTTAATTGTTTAGATCTAATGGTTTGAGTGGTGAATGGGCTAGTTTGGGGCGGTTTCCGTGTGGTTCAAGGTGGGTAAGGGTAGTTTTGGGTTGGTTTAGGGTGAGTGAGGGTGATTTTGGGGCTGAATGAGGGTGGCTGTTTTGGGTTGGTTTATGGCGAGTGTTGGTGGTTTTGTGGTGGTTCGGCTGAGAGGAGTTGGTTTTGGTGTGGTTAGAATTGAGAAGGGGTGGTTTTGGTGTCGATTGGGTTGAGAGGTGGTGATCTTAGGGCTGTTTCGGCTGCGGGGTGGTTTTTGGGGTTGTTTGGGCTGCGGTGGTGGTTTCGATGTCGTCGTTTGGGTTGATTGTGGGTGATTTTGGGTTGATTTTGAGGTTGTTCGTATTACAGATATATGATTCTCATCCTAGTCAGCTTAGCCACGTCATTCAGTTTGTTATAACAAACTTTTTGTAATAGCATCATATATTTAGTGCTTTTCTGTTTTGTTAGCTGACAACTAATGAGAATAATAATTGCCTCCTCCTAAATTATTCTCTTTCTCTCTCTATATTTCTCTGTTTTTTCTTCCAGGAACTTCCGCCATTAATGGAAGTTTGAGCTTCTTCAAGCTGAAGCAGAAAGCTGGTTCCTAGCATATTTAATATGGTATCAGAGCGGGTGAGCTCGTTTCTCGATCTTTTCTGAATTTTTTGGATGATTTTTTGTTCGATGTTTTTGGCTATCTCAATTTCTCTTCAATCTGTTGCATGTTATACTTCGGTATTCCGATTGATTTCTGGAGTTATATCTAGTCTCCTTGTGTGTTTTTAATTGAATCTTGGGATGATTTCTGGATTGTTTGGAGTAAT